AGACGATTCGTAATGACTCTCGAAAACAGCACGTAGACGCGGCTCAGAAGGGAAATCGGTCTGTAGTTCTTCAAGAGAGCGTTGTCGCCTTTCTTAAAGAACAAGACCACCGCACTTCTGCTTCACGCCTCCGGAGTAGTGCCACCATGGAGGACGGAATTGAAGAGCTTCTGAAGGACTTCAAGTACCGGTGTTCCACCCGCTTTCAGAAGCTCTGCTGTAATTCCATCCTCCCCTGGGGCCCGTTTTTAAGGTGCTGGAGAGCCATTCTAATCTCGATCAGACTGACGTCCGGGATATCATCGGAATAGTGTCGGGTAAGACTTGCTCTTGGATCGTTACTCACACTTGCGTGTGGCTCCCACGATGATGTTATGTACCATGTCCAGAGAACCTCTCAATCTCACTCAAAATCTCAGGTGTCTCGGAAACGATGCTGCCACACTCAGTCTTTAGCTTTGACAGTTGGCTCTTGGCACAGATCTGGCAAAGACTTTGGAGCCCTGTTTCCGCTCGATCGCGTCTTTAATACGAGCAGTATTAAAGTTGTGTAAGTCTCGCCGCATGCATTTGGAGATCTGTCTGTTCAGTTGCCTGTATGCTGTCAAATCTATTGAGGATTGCAGCCTCATCTCCCGTCTAACAGCCATGAGATTAAGAGTGTGATCGGAGAGTTTTTGTGTTCTTCTGCGGCGGGTCTTGCAGAACTTAGCTCCAACCGCATGGACAGTTTCCACGAGCTTGTCATTCATATCGTCCACTGCATTGCAATCTTCTAGGCACTGAAAGCGGTTACGTAACTCGAGCTGAAAAGTCTCGGGATTCTGGATCAGAGCACGAGGGGGACGGAGCGTTGACTTCATTAGACGAGACCTCTCCAACTTAACCTTAAGGTTCAGTGTGCCTCTAACCATTCGGTGATCGCTGCCGGTTTTCAACCTTGCGATCACTGAGACATCACTGAACAGTTGGCTTCTGGTCGTCATAATGAAGTCAATCTCATTTTTTGTCGAACCGTCGGAGCTCGACCAGGTCCACTTCCTGTGGGGCCGCTTCTGGATGAAAGAGTTCATCATAAAGAGTCCCTCTTTCTCCATAAAGTCAGCCAGCTGCTGGCCCCTACGGTTCCGTTGCCCTACTCCAAATTTCCCTAACTTCAGCTCACCGCCTTCTCTTGTGCCTAGTTTTGCGTTGAAGTCTCCCATCAATACCGTGTAGTGGGTTTTGGAGGAATGCATGGCTCTGGAAATATCCTCATACGTTTCCTCCACCTCCTCATCGGGATGTGCCGAGGTTGGTGCGTAGACCTGTATGACCTTCAGCAAATACCGTTTGGTGATTCCGAGTATCAGGTACGCGACCCTCGTTGACACACGCCCAATATTTACAACGTTGTTGACGAGAGACTTGTGGATGATAAATCCGACACCTCCTTGGGACAGATGGTCGCCCCCCGGTGATAGAAGAAGTTGCCGGACTCGAGGATTACCGTGTCCTCCCCCTCTTCGTACCTCAGATAATCCAATAATATCCCAGCGCAACTTGTCTACCTCTTCTTCCGGCTCCAGTATCTTCTCATCAGTCCTCAGGGTGCGTGCGTTATACGTTGCCAGGTCGAGTCGTCGTAGGTGGCAACAGTTGCTCATGGGGGGATATTTGTCATAGTTGCCACGCTTGGCGAGCGGGTTGGCAACCGCAGTTTTTTATTATGTTATTGTTGTTATTAGGAAGATGCTGCTGCCCGTGCAGCAGCAATCAATCCTTTTTGTGTCCCTCTGTCGCCTACTACGACACCCACGGGAAGATATAGGGTAGTGGATATTCTCAACCGCCACTACACGACTAGTAAATAGTTAGCTATAACGAAAATAATTTATTGTAGTAAGCTTGTTTTTGTTTGATACATATAATCATTACTTCTTTATTTAAAACTATTACGTAATAAAGTGTCTGCAGTTTGCGATCATATCCTAGATGACCCCAAACATTACATCAGATTTTATAGACCACAAATCCTCGCGAAAGGACATCGATTCCTATGATTGATACGTGAGGCTATTGAAATTAAAAAACATCCTAATTTCAATAGAAAGCGAGGCTGGGTATTACCACCTGCTTGGGACCCTATAATTAATAAAATTAAAACTAAACCCAAGCATACCACTGCAATACTTCAAAACACAGTTAGTTCATTCTGCGTAGATCGGACCAAAGACAATAATTAAAAAGCTGAAGGTACTCCGGGTTAACTTTGACATCAGGACGTCAGTCACCTCAGTCCCCCGTGACCATGGGTACTGGAAAGCACCCGAAATGTCAGATATTAAAAATAACATAAATAAACGCGGTTAAATCCGTAAAAGCAGTTTGAATCAATGTGTAATAAAGGTCAGTAAACCGTTATTCTTATAAGAAAATATGATTATACTAGAAATATTGAATTCGTGATATTGCATTATATAAAGAATAATGCAGTACGTCAAATGAACAAAATTAGAAAATCAGCCATGGATGATCCACAAATTATTCACTGGGATTAATGATTTAGGTACTTCATCGTTTTCGGTGATGATTATTGCGTTGTTAGTCTTGATCGTTTCAGGCTTTTACCGCTTAATCTCGATCCGTAACAGATACGCAAATACATAATATTCATAACTATCACTACAGACCTACATCAGTTCACCGATTTTAAAACGAAACCATGAAGATATAAGGGAACTGTGCCAGGCATATTTATTTTAGGTATTTTAGAAACAAGTTTTGCTCAAAAGTGAGGAACAACTTTGAACATGAAAACCGAATAAAACTATTTTTTTTCGTAGACGTCACACCGTGATGTGTCTTAAGATATCTGTCACCGCGATCACAGAGTGATTTTTTTATACCGCGATGCACACGTGCTGAAAAATGGAAACGGTATACTTCGACCACAAAAGTATGAAATAATTTTTAAAATTTGTAATGCTCTAAGTTTTTCTATCATGACAAAATTAGTTGGTTTGTTACTGAGTCATGTAAATTTATGCAACGTTTTTTTTTCCTATTGCCCCTTTTACCAGTTTCATAGCAAATACAATAAGGTGAATTTAGTAAGTGAACTAGTAAGTATAATAACTAACTAATAATTACTGCTATACAACAACTCGTCCTTCGCATTTAGTATTAGCCTGTAATTAGTTAACTTCAGGCGATGGACCTCTCATATAAAAAATTCGCCATAGTATCTGTGCTTTTCAGTCAGATTCCAGACTTTTGGCTTCTTTAACACTCCTTTTCATCGCCAGTCTAGAGATTTCATATCTAACATAACGGTCAATAAAATATGGTTATACCACCATCTGTCAGAACCCTCAATATTTTCTGGTTTGTTTTTCTAAGTCTCATCTTCTCACTTATGCCAAAATCATATAGCGAACTTTAAGGCACTCCTGTTAATTGCTGTTTGTATTTCTATAAAAAAACGCGATAAAATCCGTAAAAGTAGTTTGAATCAATGTGTAATAAAGGTCAGTAAACCGTTATTCTTATAGGAAAATATGATTATACTAGAAATATTGAATGCGATATTTCATTATATAAAGAATAATGCAGTACGTCAAATGAACAAAATTAGAAAATCAGCCATGGATGATCCACAAATTATTCACTGGGATTAATGGCGACCTCCCACTAGATGGAGTGACGACCTGGTAAGACATGCAGGAAGTTGATGGATGCAGGTGGCTCAGGACCGTGCTTTGTGGCATTACTTGGGGGAGGTCTATGTTCAGCAGTGGACTTGTGAAGGGCTGTAATGATGATGATGATGATGATGATTTCTATAAAATACGATTTGAAGTAGCCTTTTCTTTTTTTCTTTTAAGCTATTGCATAGCTTCTATCGCGGGCCTTGAGCGCGGGGACTGAATCCAGAAATTCCGTAACGAAAAAACCTCACGCTCCCCACTCCGACGGGCACGGAGGTGTGGCGTTGAAAGCCGTGCATCGTCTAACGTCGTTTCAGTTCGGCAGACTTCGGCACTCGGCAGAGTTCGGCACGGTGTTTGTGTGCGTGCGACTAGACGTATGCGTGTACACTAGCTGCTAACTGAATGATAAAAATTCCTGAATAACCTACATGTATTGTAAGATATTAAAAATATTTTAAACAATATTAACTTCTCATTTATTCAATAAGAGAAAAAAATTATTTTCTTATCGGTCAACACTCTCAAAAAGTGTAACTTGATTTAATATCAAAGACTTAACTGCATAAATAAAATAAATAAATAATTATAATTGCATAAGTTGACAAAAAATGCCATGCAATAGCTTTACCGCGGCAGTCACCGAGTGCCACACGTATTTTCTTTTTTTTTTGACTGCCTGGTTGGTCTAGTGGTTGTAGTATGGCGACTGCTGATCATAAGGTCCTGGGTTCGAATCCCGGGTCGGGCCAAAAAAGTTAATTATTCAGTTTTTCCGTCAAGAAATTCTCAGTAGTTGCCCGGAGTCAGGAAGTTGGCGGTGTCTCACCCCCGTGCCTCGGAAAGCACGTAAAGGCGTTCGTCCTGCGCCTGATCTCTCTCCGGTCGTGTCGGTTTACCGTCCCATTGGATTATGAGAGTGAGGGAATAGAGAGTGCACCTGTGCTTGCGCATACACTTGGGCACTATAATCCTGTCCTGCGCCGATGGCTAGCCTCCGTTGAGGCAGGCCGCCGTGGCCGAAATTCGGTCTGGAGGAGGACATTATGAGATTTTTTGTAAACTATGTGTTTTATACGCAGTAACAATAGCCACGCTAAAACTATATTATGACTACAACATGAATAGGTTGTCTCCACCATGAAAGGAAAGAAGGAGGAAGTAGGAGGCTGCTCCTAACTGACCGATGTGCGGTTTGCGAGTTTGATGCCGAGAGAGCTTCACTCTGGTCCTTGGTCCTTGCGAGCTTTCGACGACGCTGTGACAGCATGTAAAACTTCCCGTTTAATGGATTTTTGTTTATTTTTTCAGGCGGTGTTGGTGGATTGTTTTGTACACTATGAAGTGTGCTTCGGCAGCATTATATCAATCACCTAATATTGTATTCATTATGGTCGACGATATGGTTAGTAAAATGTATTTTAATAAATTTTAATTATAGATGCCAGTTGCAAAAAGGTGTATAGTGTGTCCTACAACAAGAAAGTACTTAATGAAAATTGTGTTCACCCCTCCATGCGAACTTGATAAATCTACACCATAAGCCACTCTCACCACTTCTTTAATGTAAAAATAGTCATTAATCGATCTAAAAAGAATAAGTTCAACAATCATTTATCTTTCTGATAATGTGCTTTTTATATTATTTATATGTTCAATATGATTGTTAGATACGTTTTTATGCGACAAAACGTTGAATTATTTATTTTAAGGCGCTAGTAGAATATAACCCAATAACTTGAAAATACACTACTTTTTCCATACATTGGCCATAGGCGTTGTGTCACAACACTGCGTCAAAAATTACCTATTCTGACACAACGGGTATATATCAAGACGTACTGGCACATGGAATGTGCATTTAAGTGCGTGATTTGCCAGAACGCCTGTCCACAATTGCGTTGAGAGGCATTCACCACGTGTTCACCTTTCTTCAGTTTTTTATTTACTATGTCTTTAGGATTATCTTTGCCATTTGTACGTAAAGTGCCAGTTGTATGAGTTTTCAATTCAAGTAATTTTATGACAAGCTCACAGACTTGTAGTAGTTGTCCATAAATAGATGATGTCCACGTAATGGGAATGGACGCATCAACTTTAATACAAGTTTTTCAGTTTTTGCTCTAGTTTCAGAAGTTGAAGCTTGCTTTCCACTATACATTTCATGAGAACATAGCCTTCAGGTGTTGCTAGTTCGAAAAATTTAGCATATCAATTATCTTATCATCCCCTTTGGCATCCAAGTTTGTTGCATATAAACAACGCAAAATTTGTTCATGTCCTCTTTCTGACATCGTGTAGCTAAATACGGTATGTGAATGTAATGGATCTGATGGCGAGAAGAGCTTTTACATGACCTTTCAAAAGAGTGAGACCCAAAAACTTCATCATTTCTTCGCAATCAGTCTCACGATGTATTGTTTTATGACTATGTCTAGTATGAGGTCTGTTATAGAGGCGGTTTCCATAACCGTTTGAACAGTTTACTAGAAATTATAAGAAATTTTGTGGAAAAACGAGATGAAAAAAGTCGACAAAATTATTTTTATCTTCAATATTCACAATGAAACCACATTCAGACATGGCAAAATCAAATTAAGGTATTTCAGTAACTGATGTAGACCACGACTCCTCTGTAATATATGAAATAGATCGATTAATAAGATGCTCAAAGTTTGGCTGATTAGAGACGCTCTGCGACTTGGTTGCAAACGTTTGATTAGTTGAAGGCCCAGCTATTTGTTCATCATACAAGAAAATATCTTGACGTTCTACTGAATAATATGTAGTTCTGTCGTCGTTTTCGACTTGACTCTGAACATCATCAATATTTTGATGACATTCTAAGGAAGAACATGTAGTTTTATCATCATTATCACCCGAAGAATCAGAAGACGAACGACGCCCGAGATTATAGCCACTGTTTCTTGCACGCGTATTGTTTGCAAACTTCCAAGTGGGTCTTCAGAACTCGAAGATTGACTTCCAGAAGGTCGATTATCCTTATCTGATCCATATTCTCCATCATTCGCACACGGTTCTTTAAAGGAATCAGAAGTGGACGCTGCATCAAATAATTCCTGTTGCCGTCTTTGATTTTCCTAAAGGGATCGATCTGAAAAGTAAATCGTTTTATTTGCAAACAAAATAAAACAACCCCCCTTTTAATTATTTTTTAAAAAAGTTTTTTTTTTTATTATTTAAACTTACCAAAACAAAAAAAAAAAAAAACACAAAAAAAAACATATGTTTTTCTTCTAAAAGTCTAACTTAGAAAGCTCAACAAATCGCATTATTAATTATAAGTACTAATAAAACATAACAAAACATATAAAATTACACGTGGCTCACCTTTGCAAAATATTTGGTTGTAAGTGCAGTTCAAACGCGGGGTGTAATATAAATATGACGTCGAGGGGCGTGCTGTGCTTGCGCGGGGGAGTTCAAAATCGTCGTAGTGTGAGTTACCGGACTTTTTTCAAAGGTGTGTAAAACTTGACGATGTGACAATACAAATACAAAAATTGTATGTACAGTGACAGTACAAAATGCCGCTTCATACATTTTGAAGGAATCTGGAACGTCGTAAGGCGTACTGGTATAAGGGCTAAAACTCGAACGTCGATAGACGTTCTGTCATATCGCAACTCGCAACGTCTATAGGCGTTACTGTCCATCATCGTGTTAAGGCATACAATTACGAAATGTGTTGAAAAATTAAAGTTTTATTGAAATGTTTATGATAATTATTATCATGAGCCTTGAATGCACTATTACCACAATATTTATTAAACGGAATTTTTGAAATTGGTTTATTTGTTTCTGTACTATGTAGTTTTGTTTTGGTGTTTTTAATGCGACCTTGTAATACTTTTTATTTTTTTATCCTCGTAAGCTTACTGAAGTGTAATTATTGCACAAAAACTAAATTATTGTATAAAATTTAACGTAGTGTGCAAGAATGCGCATTTAAAATAATTAGCTCGATAAAAAACATAAAAATAACACATTAATGTTATGTTTTCTTCGATTGAAACGAAAATCTAAAATATGTACCTTATAGAGATTCCGTAATGAAACCGTGTAATCGTTATATCAAATGAAAAGTTATTTTATTTTTAAGGTTATGATGAGAACACATGTTTAAAGAAGTTTTTATTTTTATTTTTCGTAATATAAATAAATCTAATTTAGTTCAAACGCTTGCGCCCATTCCGGCCCGTCGCGAAATCTTCGAAGTCGTACGTTGATTGTTCTAAAATTTTCTCAACATCATCACGTGCATTAAGCGTTTTGCTCGACAATTTTGGGTGTGAGGTAACATTTTCATATATCTTTCAACGCAACGTTTGTAGACAAGACAGCTTTAATTACCGAACCATTGTAAAGGCGACACACTTTTACTACCAGATACACGAATACACGGAATGTTTATGTCACCAACTTTCGGAAGCACAGCATTTGTATGACGTAACGGGAAACTATAAACATAATATGGATATTATTACATAATGCGTGTATCGATATTTCTTAAATAAAATATATTCACTCGTGTAAATTCGTGAAGTTTTCGCATTTTTTTAGATTAACTGATTTAGCAAAATTAATAGGTAAATAGTTTATTGAATGAAGTAAATACTCAAATCATCACTTTAACGGGAGAGACTTATGTCCATCAGCGAATTTTTACGGTCTGATGATGATGAACAGTAACAAAAAAAGAGAAGTAGTTAATAAGGTAAACTTAAAAGTAACATAGTGTCTTCATAAAGTGATTCTTATTTCAGGGTTGGAATGACGTTTCATTTCATGGTTCAGATCAGATAATAACACCTAATATTGACAATTTGGCATATCAAGGCATTATACTTCAACAATACTACAGTGAGGCCATTTGTACTCCAGCGCGTACTGCGCTTCTAACAGGAAAATATCCCATGAGACTTGGTAAGTAGCTCAAAACATAAAACATTCAAAAGATTTTGATTGATACATATATTAAATGTAATGAGATGTTATTATATACTTTTTGGAATTAAACACGAGTTAATCAACATAGATAAATAGAAACCGACTTGATATATTTATTGCTCAATATTTCCTAGGCATGCACGGAATGCCGCTCTTAAACTCGGAAGACAGAGGTATTCCATTAACAGAGAAGCTTTTGCCCTCATATTTGAAAGATCTCGGATACACAACGCATTTAGTGGGAAAATGGCATGTTGGAATGTCGAGAGAACAATATTTACCTACTTCGAGAGGATATGACACCCACTACGGTATGAGAGGAGGATTTATCGATTACTATACATATAATAAAATTGAATCTGTAAGTACAGAACATACATATTATATACGTTTAATTTTGGAATTTTATTTATCAAAAATGTTAAAATAGTATTTAATAATTTTAGCCTCTGAAGTCGGGGTTCTAATTATTCTATGCACTGTCTCACCACCTACTTTAGAAGCTATTAAATTATGTAATAATTATTTTATTTTTTGAAGCAATAGTAATTTAATAGTGAAGGATGGAGACTGCAACTCGGAAAGTCATGGGTTAGAATCATCGCCATTTGACTACTGTCATGAACCACTCCTAATACAAGCATTTTAAGCTTACTTGGAGTCATAGTAAAAACAAAGTAGTAGGATCCTCCCGCGCCGCGTGAGACTTAATGACTACTGATGTAAGGTGGTCACTGTCTTTTTGTTTAACAGCTAAGTCTCATTTAGTTTTATAAGTAGTTATAACATTTACAAACATAATACACACGGATATGTACATATATGTACATAAGTGTATCATATTTGTTAATCATTTCTTTAGTTTCCTCTCAAAGAATCAATGTTTGTCAAAATAAATTCCAGCTTTACATTACAACAAATGCCAAATAACTAAAATACGAGTAAATGAACACTGAGCATATGGTGTCAGCACAGATTTAATGTTTAAAATTAATTTGATGTGATGTGATATGATAATGTACTTATGATAGATAAAGTAATATAACATATTAATAAAAAGCTAATTCACTTAAACAAACCTATATATTGATTTATTTTAAAAAAGAAAACGAAAAAAAGACTGCTATCAAAATTTTATTAAAAGTTTTAAACAAAGGTGATTGCGGAGCGCGGCGGTGGCTGTCCACGTCTCGGCCAGACCTTTCCGACTTAACAAGTGTCGTTGTGTGCGTGCTTTGGCTCGTGCGTACGAGTCCGTACTGTCACGTTCCAGGCACACATATTAATAGCGTTCGAAACATTTCTTAGAAGATAGCCTACTATTCTGTTTTTACTATAGTTATGTTTTATAAAAATATTTTATATTTAAAGTAAAAAGTTAAATCAAAAGATTTTTGAAGTTGGTTTTTACTTATTTAAAACTTTAACAATTTTACTCCACATAGCAATATCACGTTACATTAAAATTTCATACCTTATTTTAAAATCGCTTCACATAGGCTGAAAATATTGCGTATCACTATACGATAAAATCTGTTGCAATGAGAACCTCTTTCTTTTTTCAAAGTCAGCTAAAATTATATTATACAATACACATCAAACACAACCGAAGGAAAGGTTTTTAGCCCCAATGCCACTAGATAGAGAGGCAAACATACAAAACTGGATTGTTTTGTAAATAAAATGCAGGCGCATTGTCGCCACTGAGGATAAGATGAAATGCCTCGTTATCATTAAATTCTTCGGTTCTCGTCACTCACACCAGGAAACGCAGCAGGATTATGTTGATACTTCATGCTGATAGTGCTTCCGCTGTCGAACATCCCATTTGCGTTATTGGTATAGTCATTACTAAATAAAATGGAATACATAAATAATTATTAAAAAGTTCTACGAAAAATCCAGACCGCTAATAAAACACAATTAATCAGAATAACAATTTTTATTTGTGAATCACTGGTATACACATATTACAGGTGGTCATTAATTTAACAGTGCGCTGTGTTTTATCGTACGAACATACAAATATTTTTACAAATCAAATAGGGTAAAATTAAAAAATATCATAATTATTATAAGTAAATAATATTTATAAAATTAGATAAATTTCTCAAAAATATTGATATCATAAGATTAATAATATTATAACAGTCTATTGTTTAAAATCTCGTCTATTATGCAATAACATTTGTCAAGAAGAAGTTTTAGCACGACTATTTTGAATTTTGATTGTTGCATTGTTTGAATGGTATTAGGAATTTTGTCGTATAGCTATTTTAGAAGCAAGTCCGAAAAAGCTTTTGTGTATTATTTTGTGTATCCCATAAAAGTGCTTGTTCCATGAAAAAATCGTATCTAAAAACCGTAGCGCCGCAGCCAAATACTATCTTTTGTGCTACTAAACCGACAACTACCTAATATTGGGTTGTTAAATGTGACGAGAGTTTTTAGAATTGGCTACCAGAAAGTTCTAGAAATGTCGTGACAGGTGTGAGATATTGTTATGAGGCGTGGCAGGAACGAAATGTTTTAATGTGCGTTATGCATAGTTGTTGTTCTGAGTTATTCTTCAAAAATGAAAGCGGCAGGATCACATGCGTGACACATTTTTACATACGAGTTCTATTTAGACCACAAAGCAGCTGTAGCAACTCATAATTACAGTATGACATTGAATGCGAGCAATCATTTTTCGGATACCTTGGCACAACGTTGATTCTTTTGGTTTCGAAAAGTAGGTTTTTTTCCTCGAAGATATATCGCGAAGTGGGCGTCTAAGCAAGATAGATGAACAGCGTTTAACAAGTTTAATTGATAAAGATCCACTTCCTATATTACATTGCTTAGCGAATGACTACAACGGGCGGGCACTAGGCTGCAACCATGAGCTAATAATTTAACTTCTCCATAAATAGGTAGTTATGTAAACTGGTATAACACGAGTCGATTGCTACTCAATCAGATCATTTGAGTAAATGAGTCTTCTCTGGTTACGTTGCAATTATCACTGGCTCAACCAATATGTTACACAAGGTAAAAAAGTGGGTGCTATATATCAATCACTCAGGAAAACGTCTGTGGATCGCAATAATTACCAGAACCGAGATAAAATACAATTTTATCTAAATATACGCGTTTACGGTTAATCAAGGAATCCCAATTTTGCCTAACCTGCGGCGCTGGGTTTTTGGTAAAGCCGGAGCTTAATTTAAAAATGTATAAATAATAACAATACATATGTTTAAATTTCTTAAGTTGTAATTTCAACACTGCTCATTATTTTCTAAATAACATGATAATAAGTTCTTAATTAATCATTTTCAGTGGCCTAATGGACGTCAACTTTTCGGCTTAGATCTTTTCGATAACGATCAACCTCAAAATGAAGAACAACGTTACATAGTCGATGCACTTACAGATAGAGCAGTTAAAAGTAAGTTTTTACTGTACTAAAGTGACTATTGCGTTAACTATCAACATGATGTTAAGTAACAGCCCATATGCGTCCTATTTCTGGGCACTTTATCTTATTTCTATGAGGGTTTTAGGGAAAGAAAATTTTCGTCGTGCTACCCGAGTGCGTGCGGACTTCATATATGTATCTTTAAATTGCAGGTTTCCTCACGATGATTTTCTTCACCGCCAAGCACGTGATAAATCAGCACTTAAGACTGCACTTGTCAATTTAATTGGTGTTAACGGTATCTAATCCGGGTTGCTTGTGTATGATGTTTACGACTAGCACTAAGTCCCTGAGTTAAAACGGCTAAAAAAAGATAATAATTGGAACTGATGGTTGGTGACGAAATTCAGCTCATAGAATTGACGAGCTTCAGCTCATAGACATCTGAAACAGCTTTAAAAGGGATACAGCCTTGTCTAGTGAAATAGATTGGGGATGTAGATAGGGGTGTTTTATATAACAACCCACAATTTAAAGTATTGAATGCCCTATTTTTGTAAGGATTCATAGTTATAAATCTGTCTTGGAATTTTACTACGCAATAATCATAGCGTATGAGTTTTTGAATCGGTGTTTCAGTAATCAGACAGCACAACAGCTCATGCCCCCTATTTTTGCACGTGACTCACAATGCGCCGCATGCTGGTAATGATGGCGGTGCGCTTCAGCCTCCATTGAATTCGTCAGTTAGACACAGACACATTGCCAACTCTAATCGGAGGTTGTACGCAGGTATATAACTAATGCACGTTTAAATCAGTGTAATAATCAATTTATTAAAATACTTTTTAAGAAATTTCTTGCTAACTCTGTTCTTATTTTCTTTGCAGAAGTAGTCTCACATGTTGATAAAAGTGTTGGTGAAATAGTAAAAGCACTTTCAGATATGAATATGCTAGAAAATACAATCATAATATTCGCATCAGACAATGGTGCGCCAACTCTTGGTGATTTTCCTAATTGGGGAGTGAATTTACCTTTGAGAGGGAAAAAAAACACGCCGTGGGAGGGTGGGGTGAGAGTTCCAGCTTTTATTTGGCATTCTTCATTTAGGCCTAAAGTATGGACTGGATTGATGCACATAACTGACTGGCTGCCAACTTTAATTGCTGCTGCAGGAGGTACTATCGATAGAGAGATCGACGGAATAAATCAATGGCAGTCTGTGATTCGAGATTCAAAATCTTTGAGAAGGGAAGTTCTTATAGCTGTTGAAGATAGTGATAGAAATGTTTATGCCGCGTATAGAGCCGGAGATTACAAAATAGTTGTAGGAAATGTGTCTGGTTTGAATAATGGGTATTACGGAGAAGATTATATGGCAATTAAAAGCCAAACGCCAGAGTACTTTCCGCTGTTGCAAAATTGCGAAGTTGCGAGAGCCTTTGAGAAAATAGGAATATACTTACATCGTCAGGAAGTCATGGATACGAGAACAGCGGCAACAATAAAACCGCAAGGACCGGTGACAAATGTTACGCTTTGTGAACCAACACCAAGTATGTAATTATTATTAAGTCCTTAATTATGAACAATGATATGAATAACATAATATAAATAATTTTGTAGCTTTGCTTTTAAATTAGATTTGTAGTAAAATGAGAAAACTCGCTAGCACAGTGGCTAAGCGTTCCCGCCTGGCCATCGGGATAAATCCAGGGGAATAAATCTCACACATGACGATCACACGATTAGTAATAATAATGTCAAGAATTTAATACCAGCAGCTGACGCTTTTTATTTTTAAAGTTAATTTCGAGTAAATAACCACTGCAGTTCATGGACACTAGGTTGTCACTCGAGAGCCATTCTTCCATATCATAAATTTATGTTACGATCACAATTCGATAAACTATCAATACTTAATGGGAATTGTAGATCTCCATGGCCGGGAGTGGACTATTAATAAACTAATGGCAAGGATTAACAAATACTACCCGTAATTATAGAGATAATTATTGTTATGCTTATTTATAGCTATTAAGATTATTATTTTCAATTTCAGCGCGTGGCTGCCTTTACAATATACTTCAAGATCCAAGTGAAAGGCGTGATTTATGGGAAAAAGCAAATAATATTGCAGTCATGTTAACCAGCAGACTCAGAAGCCTTTGGTCCATGCAGAAGAGGAGGGGTCCATTAGCTTTAAGTTCGGACTCTGATCCTGTTAATTTTAATTACACTTGGATGCCTTGGATTAATTACAGGAATGGATCGGATCTAAATGAAATTAATACTAGAGATGAAAATAAAAAAAGTGATAGCAAGAAGTCTGGTAAGAAATCTTACACAAAGTTCATCGATAAAAAGATAAATTACAAAGACATTACGATGGCTACTGTTGTTAATTGTGAAGGCGCTACTGTTATAAGAAACTTTTTGTGCATTTTAAGAAGTGTTTTTTAGTTGATAACTTAATAACATTTTACGTATTAAATATTTTTCAAGACATTTTAGTACACTATAAGTTTTAAGTTTAGATTGCAAACCGTAATCATAATAAAGATAGCTGTGTCCAAGATATTATTCTCGCTAGGGTATACTTTAAATAACTGTTCTTGTTGATTAAAACTACTTTTACGGATATTATCGCGTTTTATTTATATTAATTTTAATACCCGACGTTTCGGGTGCTTTCCAGCACCCATGGTCACGGGGGACTGAGGTGACTGACGTCCCGATGTCAAAGTTAACCCGGAGTACCTTCAGCTTTTTAATTATTGTCTTTGGTCCAATCTACGCAGAATGAACTAACTGTATTTTGAAGTATTGCAGTGGTATGCTTGGGTTTAGTTTCAATTTTATTAATTATAGGATCCCAAGCAGGTGGTAGTACCCAGCCTCCTTCTCTATTGAAATTAGGATGTTTTTTAATTTCAATAGCCTCACGTATCATCCTTGGTAGGAATGTCAAGCAGGTTCTGCACGACAACAAGCTTCGGGTTCCGCGCCTCCGTCACAGTGACCGAGTGAAGCCGGCCACAGTCGAGCGTGTGCCTGCTATACCATATGTCAGAGGTGTCACAGACAAGATTGGCTACATCATGAAGAGAACTTCTATTAGAACATTCTACAAGCCGCCGAAGAAGATTAGTCAGTTCTTACCATCCGTCAAGTGTCATATTCCTCTACAAGATGCAGGAGTGTACAAGCTTGATTGTGATTGTGGTCTCTCATATATAGGGCAAACAAAGAGATCAATTAGAACCCGCGTAAAAGAACACATAGCTGACGTGAAGCATTAACGTTCCGGGAAGTCTGCAGTTTGCGATCATATTCTAGATGGCCCCAACCATTACATCAGATTTGATAGACCACAAATCCTCGCGAAAGAACATCGATTCCTACCAAGGATGATACGTGAGGCTATTGAAATTAAAAAACATCCTAATTTCAATAGAGAAGGAGGCTGGGTACTACCACCTGCTTGGGATCCTATAATTAATAAAATTAAAACTAAACCCAAGCATACCACTGCAACACTTCAAAATACAGTTAGTTCATTCTGCGTAGATTGGACCAAAGACAATAATTAAAAAGCTGAAGGTACTCCGGGTTAACTTTGACATCGGAACGTCAGTCACCTCAGTTCCCCGTGACCATGGGTGCTGAAAAGCACTCGAAACGTCGGGTATTAAAATTAATATAAATAAAACGCGATAAAATCCGTAAAAGTAGTTTTAATCAATGTATAGTGTTCGCGTAAATATAAGAAATCATTATGTAAACTGTTCTTGTTGCGAAATTAATCATTTTCATAAAAGTATTGTTAAGGATCCGTGACATTTTGATTGTTTTATCTGATAGGTACACTATCAACGCGGTGAATTGCACGAGAGGTAGGGAACGTATTTGATCAAAATGTAGTATGTATTGCCACCGATAGTTACAATCTGCGTTTTTTGAAGTTGAAAGAAGATAGTTTAATAAGATTTAAAACGTAAATACCTACGACAATGTACGACAAAGACGATTTTAGTATAATTTTAAAACCCATAAGTTTTGTATTTTTTTTATATTTAAGTGATTGTACCTTAAGAAGAAATATTATTTTGTAAATGAAATTTGAAACTCTTGTTGTGTGAATTTTTGGTCCACCAAAAACATAAATGTTAAAAAGTTATAAGAACATTGTTCATTTCTATACATCCTATGATTTAAGCAACCGCTATGGAGCCCCATTTAGATCTGAACTCCTTTATCGAAGTCGGCAATCACGAATGTAGTTTGCAACGAACCTGGCCTTCTTTTCAAATTTATGTTTTTGGTTTTAATTATACTAAGAGATATAAAGGACAGCCTTATGGAATTCTCTGATATGATAATGAGATCATTATTTTTGGAAAAACTCCTTTTAGTTGTCTAAATAAACATGAGCTTCAACGTTTTTTTTCTATGTTTATGTTTCATTTTTTTTTCTATTTTTAATCTTCCTTACTATAATCAAACTTGGGAGTGATTCATGTCTATTGATTTTATTTATTTTGAATTAAGATATATACTATACTATCGATACAGATTCTAAAACAATGATCTGTCTGTTAGTCCGAACGCGAATTTATCAAAAATCTGTGGACGAATTTAGATGGCGCTCTTACTGTGGTATTACGTTATGGTCGAACCGTTCGAATAATTAAATATCTCAATAAAAAAAATATCACAATATGTTTTGTAGGAGCTGAGCAGTAGACCTTATTATATAGATAACTTTACTCAACATTAATATAATGTTGGATAAATTTAGGTGGAGCTTTCAACACAGTGTTACTCAGGAGTTCAGTTAATTATGTATTACTTTTATCCAAAAATGACTATGTAAAAAAGCAGCTTGTGTTATCTCTTTTCTTTAGCTGTCTTTCCAATAACTTTTAAGACACTTATGTCACTAATAGATGGAATAACTTGGACAAGAGATCACAATCTAAACTTAAGTATTTCTTAAAATATAATAGTCTAAAAATATTTGTTATATAGAGCTTGGAGGCGTGCCGAATTTGTTTTATTTTTTTGTCAAATAGCGCATGTTTTTTAATATACATAACAATATAAGATAATATTGTATTTTTATTAAAATATGTTGATTATTGTCCTTCAAAAAACATAGCTGAGCGTATTTAATCTTTGCCCTACTTTGTGTTGACGGACGCATTTTATTTTATTCACAAGTACATAAAAACGGGCGTTTATACCAATGGAACATTTTTATTAGAATAAAGGTGACAAACGAGCACACAGTCTACCTGATTGTAAGTGGATGCTGTGGCTCATAGACGTCTACATTTGTCCTCGATGAAGAATCAATATGCATATGCGTTGTCGCCCCTGAGGACTTAGATGGAATGCCTCGTTTTTAGTAAAAAGGGTCTCCGGTTCTCTACACTCACCATACGAATTATTATACATAATTATCCCATTGCTATATTCACTTTAATATTCACCAACGGGTACCATTCTTCTTGTTCTTAATCAGTTTGCGAAAATCCACTAGACGGGGACGTCTCCCGTTGTAGGGAAGATTTGCTATAATCTACACGCTTTTCAGGCGATTGACTATGGCAGTACCAGACGTCTCACGTATTTAAAGTTGCTGCTCACCGTGTTATTTTACGTCTGATGTAAACAAAATGGTTATTCCGCCATCTATCGGAAGCCATAAGATTTTTCTGGCATTTCGTATAGTCATTTCCTACGATAACCTTTGGACGAATTAGGGCTATCAATTCCTTAAGCCGACACGGAATTGACATCGTTGAGTAAATTTAAAATTATATTTTATTAACATTTTAAGTTTTTTGAAATATATTACTGTACGGCCTTTTTAAGATATTATAATTCCTTACAAGTTACAACTAGCTTTTCGCCCCGCGTCGCGGTTTTACTCGCGTCCAAGTTGTAACGTCAAACCGTCATCACTCACGCTTATTATGAGTTCAGATAGACTATCATAATACGAAGAGCTTCACGTGAATACTTTCTCATATTTACGAATGAAAATGATTACAGATTATCATGATAAGTGAGTGATAATTTCAGTAATGAATACAAAGATAGGTTGATTGAGGCTATATTACTATTATTGGATATATTACTATTACAATGGCCTGCAAACTCGCTGACGTTAGACTTTTATCTGTGTGGTGAAATAAAGTCATAACCACTTATGTCAAAAAGGCTTAAAGTTATGATGACCGTCGCAGCAAAATTATAGCTGCATTCACGGAAGTTAAAAGTGCTCAAGCACAGATAATAACTGCAAAAAATACTTTGAGAAAAGCGGTGCTCGTCTATGTATGGACAGAAAATTATTCCATTTTAAGGTACAAATATTAGTTATTGGAATTATTTGTGTCATTTAGTTACCGTAGTAAGTAAGTAGAGGATTAGTTGAGGAAGGATTGGTGCCATGAAATCCGTCTACGTCTAGGCGTGTTTCAGAAATCTTTACTGGTGATGAGACATGGATCTATCAATATGATCCGGAAAATAAAAGGCAATCATCGGTATGGGTCTACTCAGAAGGACAGTTACCAACAAAACTACAAAGACCTCGCAAAGTCGGTAAAAAATTGTGGCTAATTTTTTTTTCGCGGAGGGGATATTTGTCGATATCAATGCTGGAAAATTGTAGGTCAGTGAACTATGAATGGTATACTACAGTTGATTTACCCAAAGCTTTTCAAGCTGTGCGGAAGAGAAGACCAAAGACCGGGTTTTGGGGAATCATGCTGCATCACGATAACATCTCTTTGCAAGGAGGTACCTTTAGAAAAAAAGCATTTATTGAGGAATCTGGTATTGAAACTCTAAGTCCCACCCCACCCTACAGCCCTGACAGCTCCTTGTGAATTCTTTTTGTTCCCAAGAGTCAAAGAAAAAATAAAAAGGCAAATTTTTTTCAAGCGCCGAAAAAGTCGTGGCTGCCTACGAAGAAGCGATTTCCGATCTGTCAGATCAAGACTGGCAAAAGTGTTTTCATAGTTGGTTTAGGTGAATGGAACTTTGTATAGAGCTTGATGGAGATTATTTTGAAAAGATGTAAAATAAATATTAATAGTATCTAGAATACTTTTTGTATATGTCTCAAAACTTAATACTACGTACGTAGTAGTAGCAAGTTGTAAGTAGTTTTTAGCTGGAACTGGCTGGAACTAAAGCTAATTTAAAATTGTTTGCCGTCCGTATGTCTCATTTTTATAATAACACAAAAATGCAATCTTAATAGGTTTTATTGCACAAAACACTTAGCATCTACTTTTATTTTAATAATTCAGGTCCTATATTTCAGCATATAGCATCTGTAAATATCATTTGACGTCCGTAGCTCACGCTAATTAGTCATCGCGCGAGCCAATGGCACAACGTTTATCGTCGGAACATATTATAATTTTCAAACTGTCTGGATACTATTAATAATGTCTTATTAATCACTTGGTCCATAACATAATAAAGAAAATGGTGTAAGTTAAGTTAAAAAGGAATTTTTGATAGTTTTTCCCTCAGATTATAGAAATAGACAGATAGAACATGCGCAACAAACGTTGTGAAGCCACTTATTATTTAAGTGTGCGGGTGTGTGTGTTATTTAAGACAGCTAGCAACCGCTTTGTAGGGACACTTGCACCTATGTGTGTGTAAAGTTACCAGATATTGAGAAAAAAACTCCCAATTTCCCAAATCCAAATTAAAAATGTGCATTTGCTTTATAGGTAATTAAGTAGTATTTGGACAGAATAATTATTTTCAAATAATTAATGATTCAATAAAAGTTAAATACGCATAATTAATTACATTTAATTGATTTTATTAATTTATATCAGACAATAAAAATTCTTTATAACACTTTTTGGAAATTTCTCTATTATCATATAATAGGTATATTATAATTGAAAAACATAAGTAATTCAACATATTACAACAGTTAAAGTTAAAGTTAGGTGTAAAAAATAATTGTAATAAACAATTATTTTACACACCTAAAATCTTAACAGCCTTTGTTTTGCAATAATTTCTTATAATATTGCCGTTTAGCGTCTAAACATCGAGCATTCGTTTCTAATTTTGCTATATAGTGCAATCGAACCATTAAATACTTTTCTATTAATAATTTTACCAGATTAATTTTGTGATCAACTCGATAACATTGATGATCATTCTCCAGATTCATAAAAATCGTTTGGTTGTCAATAAAACTCTTTAGAACCCGTGAAATTACATGCATAATCATTTTTTGTTTTTATTACAACGTTTTCTTTTAAAAATTTTCGTATTACAATTTCAGCCGCTGTACAAACTTTATAAGTGTCTATGGAAGGAAAAAATTAAACCTCCTCTATCTCTCAAGCCAATCAATTTGTGAAAATCTTGTTTTTCCATAGATACCAAATGTGTCAAGCAAGATTCACATTTGATTTCTTTTCTGACGTACCGTATGACACATCCAGCAATATACCCAACAATCATTTTTTTCATGTCATTAAAACTGGCACATCTAAATACTGTGCTAAACTGTTGATATCTGTTGGCAAGTCCTTTAGAAAACTTAAAGAAACACTTTTAGAGTTATCAGTGTCTTCTTGTCGGTACGATGAAGTTGTTAAATTAATAATTTGTGTAGCGGAACTACACATCAATATTGCGATATTCTCCAGTGGAATGCAATTTCCAGTTTCTAGACTTCCCATTTCTAAATGCATTAACAATTTTCGATATATGGCTTTAAATTGTTTCACGTTTGGATTATCATTATGGCCCCCATGCATTCTGACGCAGCCAAAAAAATATTTCAAGATGATCTTGGCTAAGTTTGGAAGTAGGTAAAAACACCATACATTTTTCTTTTTCTATCAGACGCTCATAAAGTGACTTTAAACTTGATATATTTATCAACGTTCCAATAAAACCAGGTTTGCATCTTGTTTCCACAACTCTCTTATAAAATCGCGTTATAACGTATGTTGGTCGACGGTCCTTAATAACTTTTCTTTTGGTGACACTTTTTATTTGCAATTTTTGTACGTAATCCTGAAGCCGGTCCAAAAGTGCATAAATTTCAGTTTTATTTCCTTTATATATAGGTTTTCTGTAATCGAAATGGGCCATAGTACGTGAGTTAAAAATATCAAACATGTCATTCATTAATTGAACAAATTCTTCAGTAGGTTGCAAACGTTTAAAATCTGGAAGATTTAGATCAGTTCTACAAAACTGCAGTGCTTTCGCAACACTCCTGCTTAGCGTCTGTGTAGCAAGCTTTACCTTCATAATTTGGATTCTGAAGGAAATGTGTTTTCTAGAAAGTTTATTTGCCAAGTGTAGGCCCTCATCTTCTTGCAACTGGTTTAGTTTAGCTAAAAAGTTCCAGTCTACAATTTCTTCATTTTTATTTAAGAATTCTTTTTTTGCTTCTAGCTGGTTCCGAAGTAATTTTATTACATGACTGGGATCTAAAAAGCATGCAACTTCGCTAGCATCTGAGGGGTGCTTAAATGTTGTTTTCATATTTTCAGTATCAGTTATATTACAACCAAGTAGCTACATGGTAGTAAAATTTGTAGCATGCCCATCGAATGTTAGTGATACAACTTTGACTCCAGCTTCGTGACATTTCATGAGACATAGTTTAACTAAATTAGATTTCTGTTCTCCAGTCAAATTGTTTGTCAAAAAGTATTCCTACTAACATAAATACAAATGCTTGAGATGCCAAAGTTGTAGACTCTGTTAATTCATCGCCCATATCGACAACCCCTATGTACCGTTTACCATCCCACAGCTTCTGCTGGCGCTAC